AAATTTTTCTATTGAAAAAAAATACCTTACTTATTAAATCTCTTTCTATAAATAAAAGTGCTAAACTTATTAAATCTCTTTTTATTTGAATGAAAGAACGTTACTTATCCAAAATCATTATATTTAAATACACATACTTAACTCATCAAGTCTCTTTTATTTAACACTAAACATACCAAGACTTAATATATACCTATTTCTACTATAGCGGGTCAAATGACCCGACTTTATGTTTCATGCTTGAATGTATGAAATATGGATTTTAGGAAAGAAATAAAAACATAAATTAAATTTATTATAATTAAACAAAATAGTATGTTGAACATTTCTATTATAAAAGCAAAAAATAAAAATTTTTAATTCATAGTTTATCGCATTTTTTACATATAAGTCTGGCCATTGTACATTTTTCGCAATCATATTTTTTACATTAAGAGCAAATTTTGTTGGTTTTATTTTCTTTACAGTATCCTATTTTACATCTCATACGCTTATAAGCATCTGTAGTAGACTTAGGCAACGATCCTTTCGTATTTGTTCCTTGTTTTGGTTGTTCACGGGCTTCTCGAAAATCGGCGCCAAGTTCTATTGCTAGCTTGAGTAAAAAATCTTGCCTTGAGATATTTTCTTCTGTCGTTTGCTAGTCCATAATCCAGGCATTTATGTTAGCTAAATCAGGGATATTCAAAAAAACTTGGAGAGGCTATCTGCAAGACTTAGATTTTGTAGTAAATTTTCTCGCTGTTTGATCGGTCATGTCTACACCAAATTTGGTTCTATTGTAATATAAAACAGTTTCAGGTAAACGTTTATCATTGTTTTCTACTTTAACGAATTTATGTTTAAAACTAAGTGAAAGTACTTTTTTTGTTGGTTTACTTTTATAGATTGTAAGAGTACAATTATCTTTTTTAAAAAGTTTCGATGAAAATCGTTCCATATCATCTTTCTTTTGCTTCGCAATTAGTTATTATTAACTATTCTATTTTTATTATTAAATATAAATTAATTATTATTATTAACTATTCTATTTGACCGAATAGTTCCTACTAACGTAGTTTTTTTAGCTAGGAGTTGTGTTGCTAAGGATTTGCTTGTGAAGAAGTTGACTGTGGTCACAGTTCTTCCGCAGCCCGTAAATAACTCAATGAGTTTGAATACAACATATTCAGAGAGTGGTAATAAAGAGGGCCTATATTCATCTTTTCCAAGATATGGAAGTGCATTTATGACGTATTTGCTATCTACGTCCGATGCTAACAAAAATTTGATTCCAAATATATCCGGCTTGTTAGGTATGTATTGCGTAAATCTACATCGTACTTTAGTCGGAAATAGCTGTTCGTCTATAGTAATATTTTCACCAAGTTTGTAACAGTTTTGGCTGTTCTCAATGAAAATATTCCAAATTGCAGATACCATAGCGAATTTATCTGTTTTCAAACATTAGCTTTGCTGACTTTTTTTATCAAAACGAATAAATCTATGAATTTTGGGTAAAATTATTTCTTCTCAGTGTTTCAGAAAAAAATTTAGGCCCCCACATTTTATTCCCCAAAAAGGAAATATTCAAATTATTTGCTCCATATGCAGCTCGAGCATATAAAATTGCAATGAATGCATCTAATTTATTTTTAGATAAACTCCAATCGGAACCTAGCACTCTCTTTGCTTCTTCTATTGTGAATGTTCTTATATGGTTCATAATACGGTGCTCAATTATCAATGAAAATGCAGTACTAATTTTACCTTTCATTAAATGACGTTTTGCATATCTTTTTATGCCTACTTCTTGCTTAAAAATTTTACGAAGTGGTGCTCTTCAAGGTGTGCCACCTACTTGCTTTTGTTGCCAAAAAGATCTATCATTCGCAACATTTTGTTCATTTATTTCTACTTCACTTTCTTCCGAACTTGAGAGTAATCTAATTCTTTTTCGGTCACTACATACATTCACAATATTTTCCTCTTAATCGTCAGTATCTGTAGAATCAAACTCATTTTTATTTGCAACCAATATATCTTCATTTTCAGAAAATTCATCTTCAGTAATTTCTGAAAACTCTTCGCTAATATTATTTATATCCTCTAAGAACTTGTACTGTCTTGTTGGCTTTATCATTTCTCTGAATAAAAAGTGACCTGTATTACTATAGCTATCAAAATAAAATATAAGCAAGGTACTTACCAAGACTTTTAATTTTTACCACTTTTTCTTACACTTAAAAGCTATTGTTAATCTAAAATTTGATATTTTCTTGAAATTATTCTTAGCTATTCTTGTAGAACTACTTTACGCAACAGTCTTTGGAAGGATGTGCAAATTACTGACTACAAATGTGACTTGAAATCTCATAATAGAAAAAAATTCTCTCCGGGTCAAATAACCCGTTGTGGTAGATATGGGTAAACAACAATGATAATTCAGAATAAACAAAAGTAAAAAAAAAAAAAAATTTTTATAACTGTACGTTAATAACTTAGAAAAAGTCATGAAGTTAAATGTGCAAACGCAATAAAATTATATGTGCATTTTCAATGCAAAAGTTCAAAATGGGTCATTGGACCCGTTATTGTATGTTTAGTGTTAAATAAAGGTACCTAACTTATCAAATCTCTTTTCATTTAAATAAAAGTACTTAACTCAACAAATCCCGTTCCATTTGAATGAATGTATTTAACAAATTTAAACTCTTTTCATTTTAACGAAAGTACTGTAATACTTCCCAGAAAAGTAACGCTTTTGCCCAAACTCAGATTACAAAAGAAAAACAAAGAACTTTATTTATAGAACTTTAACAACCGTTAAAGGCTTATCTACAGTTTTCCGTAATATAAAAACGTCCGTTTTTTCTGAGCTTCTGTCAAAATCTCCACGCACAACAACTCGTAGCCTGGAAACGGTCAACGTTCCCACGCTTCCACAGCCTCGCTCCACCTCCAGGACAGCACGCCTTCCCTAGGAAAGGTTTCTTCCCTCTAGAGTAGTTCGCCTACCTTCGGGACTGAATGCCTTCCTTCGGAAATCTACGTCTTCCTTCAGAGCTCCATATGGAACCTTCATTCCCACCCTAAACGGAAAACAAGAATAGCAGAAAACTTCCCAAATTTAACGGTTTAAAATAAATTTAATTTCCCCTCAAAGTAAACCTACGCTACTCTAGTTGTCTCCTTATACTCTCTTCCCCTTACTCTGTAAAGGGAGGAGGACGATCCGCGTGCACTACGCGCTTCTTACCCCTACCAGACCTACCAACACTAACAACTAAATCAATAATTTTTTTAAAAATAAAATAAGGTTCTTCTAAATCACTCTCCAGCTTCTTTGCTCTTTCTTTTTCCCATCGAGGATTGTATAATCATACCTTCTGTCCTCCTTCAAAATCCTTCCTCTTGGACCTTCTTTCATACCAAGCCTTTGCCTTACAGGACTTCATCTCCATCCGCTCCTTTGCGAGCGAATGTATCTCTTCAAGCTGTGAGCTGAGCCTTGAGCTATAAGTTTCCGAAGAAGCTTTCTCCTCTTCGCCCGGAGGACACCCCCGCAGTAAATCCAAAGGCAAGCGTAGCTCCCTTCCTCCCAGCATTTCCGCTGGAGTAAAACCTGTTGTCTCATGCTTCGAAGTCCGATAGGCAAGTAAAAACATCGATATCCAACAGTCCCAATCCTGATCTTGGCTGATATACTTAACGAGGTAGTCGGTAATCGTCCTGTGCTGCCGCTCTACCTGTCCGTCCGATTGTGGATGTAGCGCTGTAGTTCTCGTCTTGCGGATCCCAAGGCGTTCCGCAACCTCTTTCATCAGTCAAGACTTAAAGTTTGTACCTTAGTCTGTATGGAGCTCTAACGGAACTCCATAACGTAAGACGACTTCCTCTACATAAGTCTCTGCAACCGTCTTTGCTCTGAAGTCCCTCAGAGGGAATGCCTCTACCCACTTGCTGAAGCAATCCACGACAACGAGCAGATATTCTATTTCCCCGAGTCGGCTTCGGAAATGGGCCCAGAATGTCCATCTGCACCCTTTCGAAGGGTTCCCAACGTTGTAGATCCGCATATTACTACTCCCCTTCTCCGAAGGACCCTTTCTAGTGATGCAAACGGGGCAAGCCTTGCACCACTCCTTGACATCCCGTTTGCAACCCAGCCAATAAAAACTCTCCTTTATCTTGTTCAGAGTTTTATTGACTCCAAAGTGTCCTCCCGCCGGGTTGTCGTGTGCTATCTCAAGGATCTCTTTAGACCGAGCATCCGGAACAACTACCTGCAAAGTGCACGTTTTTAAGTTCGGACGCTCCAATCTCCTAAAAAGTAGTCCCTTCTCCAAGACTAAGTTATCCCACTGCGTCCAATAAACTTTCGCGATCGGCACTAGAGGCGAAATTTCCTTCAAGGACGGCCTACTTCTCTTCGTCTTTGCCTGTATCAGCGGCCCGATGTTCCTATCTTCCTGCTGTGAGTTGCTCTAGTTCCTGGTTTCATCGTCTCCTAAGATGATCCTTCCAACGTTCTCAACATGGGCATTTTCCGTTTTCTCCTGCTTAGCGCAATAAGAGCATCCAAACTCTGCACACGGAAGCCGGGACAAATCATCTGCATTGCTATGCACCCTTCCCTTCCTGTGCGTGACCACGTAGTCATAGCGCTGTAAACGTTTGAGCCTTCGCGTGAGCTGCCCGTCCAGCCTCTTAAACGAGATGAGCAACTGCAAGGAGGCGTGATCCGTTCGCAACTCAACCTTCGCTCCGTAGAGATAATAGTGGAAGGTCATAATCCAATCCACCGCAGCTAGGAATTCCCGTCTCGTGACGCTATAATTCCTTTCAGCCTTGTGGAAAACCCTGCTGTGATAAGACACAACCTTCTCTCTACCATCCTGGATCTGCGAAAACACTCTACCTAGGCCGTCCTTCGACGCATCTGTATCCAGGATAAGCCTCTTCCTCTCCACCGGAAAAGTAAGAGTCAGAGGAGTTACCAGGGCCCTCTTCAATTCTTTAAACGACTGCTGGCTTTCCGAATCACAGGAAAACATCGTTTCCTTCTTCGTCAGCACATACAGGGGTCTAGCAATCAGCGAGAAACCCCTTTACGAACTTCCTGTAGAAGGAACATAGTCCAAGGAAGCTCCTCACTTGAGTCTTACTCCGGGGAACCGGCCACTCTACCACCGTCCTGATCTTCTCTGGATCCGTGGGGAAACCTCTCTCAGAGATGACATGGCCCAAGTACTTTACTTTCTTCTCAAAGAACTTATACTTCTTCGGATTAATCATCAGCCCCGCTTAACGGAGCCGCCCAAAAACCTTGCCTAGATTAAGTAACATCTTCTCGAACGTCAGTCGCTCGAACGTCGCTGGGGCGTTGCATAACCCAAAAGGCATGACCCTGAACTGCCACAATCCTCCTCCTACTAAAAATGCCGTCTAACTCTTATCCTCTGGGCGCATCTTCACTTGCCAGTAGCCACTCTTCAAGTCCAGAGTCGAAAACATTACCATGCCAGGTATGCGATCTAATAGATCATCTATCCGTGGCAGTGGATAGGAGTCCTTTCTCGTAACTTTATTGAGCTTACTGCAGTCCACGCAGAATCTCAGTGTTCCATCCTCCTTTCTGACGAGCACCGCTGGCGACACCCACGGGCTGTTTGATTCCTCTATCACCACTCGCGTTTTCATCTTCTCGATGATTTTGTCTACATCTTCCCGCTGATGAAGTGGAATCCTCCGCGGTAGTTGCCTAATCGATACGCTGTTTGTCAACACTATCGCATGCTACACGACGTCGCCGCTCCCGGCTTCCGCATCTTTCACAAACTCCCTCGCATTGGACTGGAGAAATTCCGCAAATCGGTTTCTCTGCTCTTCTTTTAGATTACTGGAATTCTCTTCCAAAATGCGAGCGAGCACCTCGGTGGTCCCCTCCACAATCCTTGACACGATGCCTTCATTTCCTGAAATAAATTCCCGAAATTTCACGACTAAACCGGTCTTAGACAGGAAATTTCTCCCAGAAATGCAATCATCACTGATCACCGCTGCAACTAAAAATAACTCCTCCAAAAATTGCCCTAACTCCACCTTCGCCTTTACCTTTTCCACGGAAGGAAACACCTCCCCCGTTGGATTACGCAAACGCGCACCTAATCTAACCCTCTCAAAATCCCTATCCACGAATCTCGGATTTACCAACGAGATGTCAGATCCAGTATCCACCATTACCCTGCACGGCCCCCCATTTACCCTTTCCATGAAAATAAATGACTCCTGCTCTTCCTTTGCATGCACGTCCTCCACCTTCCTTACGAGGGGTCTAGTTGCTTTAACCGGACTGGACCTTGTTAATCCAGTTCATATTAGTTTCCCTTGCTCCTACCTTCACGGCACTCCTTCTGGAAGTGACCAGTCCTCCCGCACTT